GTAATTACCTGCAAATCACCACTTTTCAGCTCTTGAAAGGAAACAGGATTTCAAGAACTAAGCTAAAGTGCTAAGTGCATATGAAACAATTCATATACTCAAATATGCACTATAAATTATTCTGCATGTGTGTATAAATATACATAAAAATATTAAAATAATTTCCATAGGTCATTTTTATTCCTGGGTTCCAATGTGGTTTGTTGTGGAGAATATAAGAAGATTGGAGTATTTACCGCAGGAGAAGCGCGCCATTATCCCAATAATATACTAACAAGCGCAGCAGACCTTTTTAATTAAAGCCGTCATGTCTATTTGGTAAGTTATTTATTTAGTACTACTATACCACTGGGTGATACACGGACACTTGATGGTGAAGGAGACATAACACCTAGCAATATTGTGGTTCGCAGACTTTCAAAGTTCAGTCTATCATAGTGACTAGTATTATTGTAATAGTTTTATGTATATTTAAATGCACATAGAGCTTTATATATTTTATATTTGCGTATATGAACTTTACTTTTAAATATGGGTTGTGTTTTACAGCGCCCCCTATAGAGCTTTTTATTTATACATGCTTGTACTTGGGTAAATGCGAACACTTTCTTACATTGACATTTACACATGCGTGTGCATATGACACATTTCCCGAATACAGAAATTCCACCATTGCCATATAACTCAGTACAAATGTATACAGTCATTCACTTCTATAGCCACCTGCAGATTCAACGATGGGGACAAATGATGGCATTTTATGTTAGTGGATTTTTTCAGCCTCTCACTGTCCGCGTGCTTGAGGCAATCAAGCAGGTGTTAGTGATTTGCATAAAAATAATATGCTGTCCTGCCATCCCAGCACTTCAAAGGATTAGTGCCATTTTTTTTACAAAACTTGAACACCCAAATACCCTTACTGTGATCCTACACCAAAAGAAATTTTGGGTACCATTCAAGGCTTCTGTCTCCAATCCGGTGACCCACACTAAGGGTACTGGTTTGGGAAGAGCCCATCCCAGCTCAATACATTCAGACAAAAGAAAAAGGGACCAATCGCCGCACTCCTGCAAAACTCGATAGTCACTTACATCTGACTATCCGGTCTTGCAAGAGTGCAGCGATTGGGTCTCTTTTTCTTTTTATGCTAATATCCTTAAATAAATGAAACCCCTTTCTTTTCTTCAGTTTTCTTCCATCCTATCCCAGCTATAAAGAGTCAATGCAGTATTAACAGGAGCTCTGGCTCTCTAACATCCAGGCACCTCTGATGTGCTGATGATGAGAGAAAGAGGTGTCTATCGTGGTATGACCATAACGTTCTGGAACAGTCTGCTTCCTCGGTTTCCGTGCCTGCCCCTACTGGATGTTATAGAGCTGAAGTTGCTTAAATATTATTACTGCCCCACATAGGTTGAGCATTGTGCAGGAGAAGCTCAGGTGAATGGGCTACGGGGTTCCCCTTAGTTATTAGCATGTCAGGTTGGATCTGTTTCTGTAATTTTGTACAAAACTTAAAGGATAAGTTCACCTTTTTGACAAAAATAATAAATGCATATGTTTTGGAAGGTAAAAACGTGCATTTAATATTTTTGTCTGCAGTAGCCTGGAAAGCATTGCATCAGCGATCAGCCGATCGCTGATGCGATGCAGGTTTCCTGCAGACCTGTCAGAATATCTGCTTGCCGTATGTGATGTAGCAGCAGGCAGATATTCTGACAGGAAGTTTCAATGAACTACCATGGCACTCCACAGTGCTGTAGCAGTTCATTAAAACCTACAAACCGACAGCCGCTATGGTTGCCGGGACTTGTAGGCACTCATTCACAGAACTCTGTGCTGTTTTCAAATCTAACAGATAGTACAGGGAAACTTCTCCCCTTAATATCTGTCAGAGGAAGGGGGAGGCGGGTGTGGCTGCAGCTATAGGAACATGTTACATGTTCCACCCTAAAAACAGTAAACTTATCCTTTAATGATCCTTTAATTACATATATAAAATGTACACATTTTACAGCTTATTAAAAAAAAGATGAATACTGATTGGATCTGATTAACCAAATGGTAAAATATGTAAAAAAAATACATGATTCCCCAATTGACTTTATAGGGCAGTAGCAATATCTATTATATAAAAGTATATTTTTATACTGTATACTTGGTGTTACTATTGCCTGGTAAAGTCTCATGGAAAATCATAAATCTTTTCTACATTGAATATATGGCTGTGATCAGTGTGACTGGCTCCCACACCATGCATTTCCCACACCAGAAATGCAACAATGCCAATGGTCATCTTTCATTCTGCTAGTGATCTACTTGTTACCTACCTCATACAAGTATGCTGTAACACTGTTCAACAAATTTTTATTTTTTGCCAGTTTTGGAAACAAAAGGATCCATTTCTTAATGAATTTCACTTTCTGAGTTCAAATATAACAATGAAATTTGTCAATTGGCTCTAGTTTTTCTGTAAACGGAAAGTTTTCTACTATAGGCGTAATGACTACATAATGCACAATAATTATATAGATAGATGTCTTTCCACAAATATAAAGCAAGTGATATTGACTACATAACAAAGCCTAAATGGCATAATATATTGCATAGGATTACCAAGAAAAATTATAGCCATAAGCTAAGTTGAATCATTTTAATACTTAGGATTCTCACTAGTTTTGTCTTCAGTTTGTGTCGGTTTTGCTTCTCTTGGCTTTTCTCTTGTATTCGAGGAAAGGGCTATCTCTTACAACTCCACGTGACTACACGCTTCAGGTTCTTCCTCACTTGACTCAACCACAAAGGATTCTGGTGCTTTAGGAATTGGTAGCCCCTCTCCATGAGGAACTGGACGTATTGCCGATGGAATATTTGGATAGTGCACAGATAACTTTTTCTTCTTATTTAGCCCTTTTACAATTGGAGGCACCATACAAAAGTAACAATTACTAACATGATCTGTTGGCTCTCTCCAAATCATTGGCACAGCGAAAGGCATAGATGCCTTTTTTCCATTCAACCATTGCTCCAGTGCCGTCCCACAACAATTGCAGCATATATGTGGTGCCCAGCTCTTGTCCTGGTCTCCTATCTTGCAGCCAAAATACAAGTTGTAGGCTTTCTTAATCATTCCTGTTATCCTCCTTTTTTGTGAGATAAAAGTTATTTCACCGCAGATATAGCAGAAATTATCTGCTTTATTCACACAAGTTCGAGGCATTACTGAGTAGCCTATATAAGCATAAAACGAAATGTAAAGACGCTGTCGAACTACAATCAGCTACAGATACTGCAGCTTTTATGCAGTGAAGTGATGCAATTAAAGGCTAATATTGCATCATCTCAGTATACATGCAATTTTCTATTGGTCACCAGTATCAATTGCGCAATATGCAGCTGAAGTTGCATCATAATTTTGAATGGCTTACGTCATTAGATGGGTGAATATATCATGGAAACTAGAGCCAATCAACAGTTTTTTAGGGTCATTTTCGTTTTCAGCACCCCAAAATTATGTAAGATTAGCTAATTTTATGCCCAAAACGTTTTACCTGTTGAACAGTGTAAGTGAAGTCAGAACTCCTGATCTGCATATTTCTTTTGGTTCATTGACTAGTAAAATACTACAGACATTGGGTCAGCATTACAGCTAGACAATTGGTATTTTAAGAAAGAGAGGTCAGCAATAGCAGTCAATGTATTTCTCCCAGGAAATGGGATCTTTAAATGGGGTGACCTAGCTTGAAATATTTTACACAGTGGCACTCTTACAGGGGAATTACCTAAGATTCCTGCACTATGACAGGAAACTGTCAAGAATGGCAAGCACCACATTATTCCTGTTTTATCTGTGCCAGTTTCTATTTCAGAGTGAAACAGAAACCAGCAAATGTCTGTCCTTAATTAACCAGGGAATGTGGCAGTTTTCCATATAGACAACTGCCTCAGATTCCTTCCAGGTGTGACATGTCATAGAGGATGGGATCTGGAAGTAGATAGCTCACATGCCTCTCTCTGCTTGTGCAGTAATTACACTACAAGAGCAGAACCTGCAGGGTTTACAACCTTCCTCTCCCTCCTGCTTTGAGCAGAGCAGGGGAGTGGGGGCAGCAAAGAGATTGAATCATGCAGCTACAGCCCTCCATTATTTGTGCTGTCTGTCAGACATGGCAGAACACAGAACTGTGCTCCTAATTAGCTATGGTGCTTGAGCCCCTTTTGTTAATTAAGAGCAGCTTCTGCTCCATTTTTTATGTTTAGAGTGATAAAGGCATGGTGCTTGCATCACTCTTTGTTAGATACTCCCTTAGTTTGAGGAATTGCTACAAGACTGGGCTATATACAGACTTGCACTGAGGTAGAAAGAGTCATTGATCATCGTAAAGGTAGCACAGTACATGCACAGCATCAACAGTTAACACAGTCCTATGGACATAGGTAGTTAAAAAGTGAATATTGTAACAGTATTTGTAAGTATTTAAAACATCATATGCTAGTAATCATATTCACATTAACCGTGCACTATTATTTACACTCAGGTGAAGAGTATCTATAACCAACACTTTTATTGTTTAAAAAGCAATTTAATTTTTTTGCTGTCTTTATTCCATTGGGGAGAGTTCCCTTCACTTCCCATCTTGGAGACAAAATTGTGACGATAGCTTTCCAAAGTGAGGGAAATTCACACTTATACAGTAGTCATGACAGGTTTCCCTATTGGAAAATGTCATGACAACCATAACATTTTGGATTTCCCATTACTTTCGGTCCTTGGTGTGATGAATAGTCAAATAGACACATGAAGAGAGTGAATCTCCCCAGTGGGGATACAGACTGCAATAAAAATGTAAGGTCATAACCCACACTTTCCAAAACTAATAATAAGATTTTAGATAAACATCTACTGTAATCACACACACATACTATATCTAAAAAAAAAAAATAAAAAAATACATATTTTTTCATTTGGTCATTTACATTTATATTGTGTTTTAGAATTTTTACATTGCATCGGTAGTAGGGATCTTCACTTTGTTTTTCAGTATGATATAGTCCTGAACAAATGTTGGCATGTAAGACAATGGTATCCAGAAATAGCTGGCATCTGTTCCAACACTGTAACGAGTTCTGGGATGTTGGCTGGTCAGAGCATGTTCCATGCACCATACAACAATGGACAGGTCACTATTCCGAACAAGGTTTAACTTTTTCTTCTTTGCAGCATCTACACAGGAAAGATGATGATTTAAGTCCAAATTGTGGAAAACCAAAGCAGTATATTTAAGGTTTGTAAAACAGTTCCAAAAATGAAACAAATGCACCAATGTTAATGTAACAGAATATAATATATTACTACAATGTCAAATCTAATAACAAAAGCACCAAGTCTCTAATCATACAGGGCGTGGTTGTGCAAGGATGAAAGAACAGAATGTGAAAGGTCAATACTCAATTTTATTTAGACTCCTATTTCATAAAAAGGCAATATTGAAGGGTTCCCCTCAATTAAAGTTTGTAAGCTGTTCAATTGGCTTCTGTTGTGATCATACAAAAAATCTCAGGTGTAAATCTCACCCTCAATCCAAAGCTGCTGCCTCTCCCATATCATCTTTTCTTTGCCACAATATTTCTTTAGTCTTCCAGATTGATTGACACTCAGCACTTCTCAACTTGGAAGACTGATGAGATTGTTGGGCATTATGGACCCACCCCAAGAGGAGTCATCAACATGGTTCATTGCATTCATTGTGTAATGGTCAGATCTTCATCATTGAGAAACCCGTAAAAGAGGCAAACGTGACAGCGTGAAGACTTTGTAAAAGAAAAGTGAGAAAAAAACACCATACCATAGTTGAGGGGGGGCTTTAATTGAAGCAGGGTAAAAGATTGGGAGGGCTCTGAGTTGTGTTTGTAAATGGAAAGCCAGGCATACAGCTAAATACACAGCTAATATAGAATACATATTTGTTTCCTCATTTACTAAACAAAGCCTTTGTTATTTTGGCCTGTCATTTTTGTGGTACACACACCTGATAGTCAAGATAATCACTCTACTATATTCTGGATTAGTTTTAATGTTTCCTGGGTCCCTTATACTGCTATTTTGGGACAGTTTCCTGTACTATGAAAAGAGTTTATGATACTGATTCACTGTCTAATGAGGAAGCCGGAGACACAGATGTTACATAAAAAGAACTACTGAACCACAAAGACATGTTGCTTGATGATTAACTATGCGTCACCCTTCTGTGCAGAAACTGTCTGTGAGTTGTGTAAATTTAGCCAACACCAGATACTGGATTTCAGTCTTTACATTTCTGATTCTTCAAATAAACTGTGTCAAAATCTGAGAGCAGCTACAAAGTATCCACTATAACAGCAGTACAAAGCAGCACTTATTTATTCAAAGCCCTGAAAACAGGGGTTTTGTAACTCTTAACACATGTTGGATAATGATTTCAAATAAACAAATACTCAACCCTTTGAGATCATCCTTATTCCTTCTTCTAATGTTCTTCTGTCTTTTGTCCCTCATGTCCATCAAAGTAACTTTTGTACCCCCTGTAAATTATGGACCCAAAGAAAGTGAAACAAACCTCCTTGGCAACTGTTGCCAACTTTGCCAATTTGGGGGTAGGTACTACTTCCAGATTTCACAATGGTCACTGGATACATTTCTTGCATCTAAAATTTCCCATTTGACTTTAAAAATCTCTAGTAAGAAAATCTTTGAGTCATTTTCCAAATTGCATTGCTGATTTTTCCATTGCTACCTCAAGTGGCAGAGAATTATACCACTTAAAACACATACTGTAAAGAACCTTTTACTAAACTGACAGTACAACCTTCTTTCTTCCATGTCTCCAATGTTCTCTTATCCTTTGTACAGTCATTTGGATAGAAAAATATTTTCTAGTTGAGTTGGTTCTTTTCATATTGCAAACTATGAGAGCTTGAGCTTAATCATCTGGTAGAGTAAAAGGATGGGCTTAATTTGCTGAGGGATTCATTGGTTTGGTTTCCTTGTTGTCCAATGTATTCATAAAATGCTTTTTAACACCAAAGTTCAAAGGTATCAGTACTTTTCTTGTCTTCTTCTTCTTCACTGTCTAGCTTTCACAGCCACAGAGAATGACAGAAAAACACCATTGCCTAGACAATTCTTACCTTTGTACTTATAGACACATCAGTACTTTTAAGATCTTTTCTAGGTCTTTCATCCTTCCTCTACCATGGGCCAATCTGTGCTGGATTTTTAACTGCTGATTCCTTTAATAATTGATCCAAGAAGGTTCTGTCTTCTCATTCTATGTCTCCCCCATCAACTTTGCAGTTTGCAGTCTTTTTTGCTGTCATTACCTTAGTTTACTTTATATTTATATGAAGTCCTACCTTCTTACTCTGTTCTTTAACTTCCTCTGTGAGGCCCTTGAGGTCCTCTACATTTTTAGCTATGAACATAGTAGAGATTGCTAATGTTTCTTCCAAAAATCATAGGTCATAATACAAACAAAGTAAGATTTTTTTTCCATACTGAATTTACCCAATGTTTCCAACCTTTAAAGTGAGATCTCCCTTTTATTATTTTGTTTGCCCTTCCTTTAACTCATCTGCCCATTTTTATAATTTGGGGTCCAAAATGGTACCCCATATTCCAGACACTGCCTTCAAATTGATATATAGATAATTATAAAATGTTATCTGGAGACCCCACAGATAACTGTAATGTACCTCCATCCCAAATTCAATATATACACAATTGTTTTCTAAATTTGCCCTGGGATTTTTAGTGAAGTACATCACACACTAAACCACATAAGGAATTTAAAGTGTTACTGAACCCACAACAGTAAAATCAGTCTGTATTTGCAGCAAAGCATGCTTGTTATACTCAACGTGGAACCTAAGGGGATAATCTGCGGCATTGTTTAAAAATGCTGTTTGATCCTGACCTCTTTGATCCTCCCCTTCTTCCCATGTTTCCCTCTTATCTCCTGATAAGACATGGTGTAGAGACACGGTGCACATGCTCAGTTTAGTGTGTATTGCTAGAGAGACTTTTTTCTTTCCTAGGAGAGTGCATGTGATTAGCACAGGGCCAATCAGCACTGTCCAGACAGAGGTCAGGGGTTTTGCATTCTCCCAGGAGCAGAAAGAAAACTCCTCCTACAAGCTTTAACATGTGCTCTGCTGGACACTGTTAGAAGTCACAAGACTGATCTAACTGCTGATAAGAAAATGTATTTAGCAGTTTATATTTAGTAAAATAATTGCATTTCCATGTAGTGTGTACTGTGGGAGACCAGATATAGTGAAAGCAGGGTCCTGGGTGTAATAACACTTTAAAACACAGAATTGTAGGTTTATTAATACAAAAATACATATTTCATCATAATAAAATCCAGTTGAAATTATATTAAGCTGATTTACTATTTAGAAATTCATAAATAATTCCAGTGTTATTGTACATACAGTCAGGTCCATAAATATTGGGACATGGACACAATTCTAACATTTTTGGCTCTATACACCACCACAATGGATTTGAAATGAAACAAACAAACAAGATGTGCTTTAACTGCAGACTGTCAGCTTTAATTTGAGGGTATTTACATCCAAATCGGGTGAACGGTGTAGGAATTACAACAGTTTGCATATGTGCATCCCACTTGTTAAGGGACCAAAAGTAATGGGACAGAATAATAATCATAAATCAAACTTTCACTTTTTAATATTTGGTTGCAAATCCTTTGCAGTCAATTACATCCTGAAGTCTGGAACGCATAGACATCACCAAACGCTGGGTTTCATCCCTGGTGATGCTCTGCCAGGCCTCTACTGCAACTGTCTTTAGTTCCTGCTTGTTCTTGGGGCATTTTCCCTTCAGTTTTGTCTTCAGCAAGTGAAATGCATGCTCAATCGGATTCAGGTCAGGTGATTGACTTAGCCATTGCATAACATTCCACTTCTTTCCCTTAAACTCTTTGGTTGCTTTTGCAGTATGCTTTGGGTCATTGTCCATCTGCACTGTGAAGCGGCGTCCAATCAGTTGTGAAGCATTTGGCTGAATGTGAGCAGATAATATTGCCCGAAACACTTCAGAATTCATCCTGCTGCTTTTGTCAGCAGTCACATCATCAATAAATACAAGAGAACCAGTTCCATTGGCAGCCATACATGCCCACGCCATGACACTACCACCCACCATGCTTCACTGATGAGGTGGTATGCTTAGGATCATGAGCAGTTCCTTTCCTTCTCCATACTCTTTCTCTTCCCATCACTCTGGTACAAGTTGTTCTTGGTCTCATCTGTCTATAGGATGTTGTTCCAGAACTGTGAAGGCTTTTTTTGGCAGATGTCGTTTGGCAAACTCTAATCTGGCCTTCCTGTTTTTGAGGCTCACCAATGGTTTACATCTTGTGGTGAACCCTCTGTATTCACTCTGGTGAAGTCTTCTCTTGATTGTTGACTTTGACACACATACACCTACCTCCTGGAGAGTGTTCTTGATCTGGCCAAACTGTTGTGAAGGGTGTTTTCTTCACCAGGGAAAGAATTCTTCGGTCATCCACCACAGTTGTTTTCCGTGGTCTTCCGGGTCTTTTGGTGTTGCTGAGCTCACCGGTGCGTTCCTTCTTTTTAAGAATGTTCCAAACAGTTGTTTTTGGCCACGCCTAATGTTTTTGCTATCTCTCTGATGGGTTTGTTTTGTTTTTTCAGCCTAATGATGGCTTGCTTCACTGATAGTGACAGCTCTTTGGATCTCATCTTGAGAGTTGACAGCAACAGATTCCAAATGGTGCAAATAGCACACTTGAAATGAACTCTGGACCTTTTATCTGCTCATTGTAATTGGGATAATGAGGTAATAACACACACCTGGCCATGGAACAGCTGAGAAGCCATTTGTCCCATTACTTTTGGTCCCTTAACAAGTGGGAGGCACATGTGCAAACTGTTTGTAATTCCTACACCGTTCACCTGATTTGGATGTAAATACCCTCAAATTAAAGCTGACAGTCTGCAGTTAAAGCACATCTTGTTCGTTTCATTTCAAATCCAATGTGGTGGTGTAAAGAGCCAAAAATGTTGGAATTGTGTCGATGTCCCAATATTTATGGACCTGACTGTATATAATCCCAATAATAGTATATAGGCATGTAGCAATACATCCAGCAACTCAATGCGTTTCACAAATTTCAATTTGCTTCTTCAGGAGTAGATGCAAAACATATAAATCAGCTTGAGCACTGTATGATTTGGAATAAAATCATATGGTGCCAACTCACGTGGCGACTATGCTGGGTTTGTAAATGCGCCTTCCTCCCATTGGAAGCCCTCACATGGCGTTAGAGGGGACCCATGCTGGGCCCCATGGGATGAATGATTGTGACAGACGGGATACGTGCTTATTCATCATCAGACCACATGGACCATAGTTGGATTACAGTCTTAAGCTCCACTGGCATCCTACGTGGGTGCCATTTTGGAACACAGCATTATGAATCATTTGAACATCACATTTGCCTTTCATTTGCCCTTTGAGTCTGGATAGGTCTTACTGCTACCACTCCAGGGATAAACATCCCTGATGATTTTATTCCAAACCATACCATGCTCAAGCTGATTTATATGTTTTGCATCTATTCCCGAAGAAGCAAATTGAAATTCGGCAAACACATTGAGTTGCTGGATGCATTGTTACATACCTATATACTACTATTGGGATTATATATATGTACAGTAACACTGGAATTGTGTATGAATTTATACATTGTAAATCAGCTTAATATCATTTTAACTGGATTTTATTATGATGAAATATGTACAGTATTTTTATATCAATAAACCTATAACTATGTGTATGAAATTCATTATGTGGTTTAGTGTGTAATTTAAATTGATTTAAACACTGGTAATGCTATACCTCCTTAATACATTGAACTCTCTGTTTTTCTCTATCTCTAGATTTTGCTACATTTTTTAAACAACTGCTTGGCATTGAAAGGCAATATTTATTTTTTTTTACCTGTATTCCCAGGTCCATTCTCAACAGTTTTACGCTAAATGTACAAGGGACATGTTTACATTCTGGTTGCCCACCCTTGGTCGGTACTGTGGTCATTACTTGTCACTACACTGGCAGGTAATGACCTACAAATGTTTCTGATGTTCTCTGTGCCTAATGTTTATGCAATGTGAAATGCACCTTCTCTCTTTTAGCTGTATGTCTCCCTTTCAAAAATCTTCTAAAACTGAGTAAAACAGAAATGTACCAGTCCTTTGATGTATAATTATATTATTATTATTATTATTATTAATAATAATAATAATAATACATAATAATAATAATGTGGTAGCTTTGTTAGTTTTAATATTTCAGGCTATGAGCATTTTCACCAAGTACGGAAAGTACCTTTTGATTTTGCTAGAAATGCAGTGACCTTGTCACTTCCACTGAACTGAAAATAATGCATAAACATCCTTATATTCCTTGTGTGACCTACTAGTCCCATCAATCCACCATGTGATGGAGACAAAGGCAAGCATATTTGAAGTGCAGCATGGTACAATTATGGCTACTTCCACAGATACTGTGGAGAAATGAGCAAAACCACGAATAGGTGAGTGTAGTCATGGCAGGAAATGAGTTAGTTGCAGGATTGCCAGGTATTGGTATTCAAAGATTTGTAGGCTGCAATATGTTACTTTTTCATGTTGGGGTTTAGATACACTTTAATTTGATCAAGGTCTTTTCTTAATATTTCACTAAAATTAATTCACACCAGCGTTAGGGTTTTAGAAGCACTTCTAGATGTATTTTAGACACATTTAGGAGGTCCCCATGTAGTTCTTCCCTAGAAAAGGATGTTAGAGAGGGTCAGGTAAATCTAGTTCTTTAGCTCCTCTCTAATCATTAGAGCGGTGTGCTATTATTTTTGGCTTTCCTGGGTTTCATTGGTTGCAGGCTTGACTTCTTCCCCCCGCCTTCTAGTGGATTCTAGAATGTAGTGGACTGGAAGAGGCAGAGCCTTGTCCCGGACATTTATATGGTATCAGCCAATCCCTGGAGGAAGGATGCCCAGGGTTCTTGTCCAGGAACAATAGATCCAAGCCTGGAGGGCTGCTGACGTGCTTGGCAGTGTAGCTGAAGTCTACAGGAGTTCATTGAGGTCTCAGCTCTGTGCTGGAAATAGTCAAATCAGAAGGACTCACTAAGGGTCTGGCCTGGAGACTTACAGGAGACATGTCTGGTTGATATTGGACAGAGGCATCCAAGTATAAGGGAACATTGTGAGTGTAGACCTGGATGTGGAATCCTAGTGACTGACTGTTTGTTGATGTAACCCCTTGAGCATCTGCTCCAGTGCTGCTGAATTTAACCTTTTTGCTTGGAACCCTAGGATTGCTGTTCTTCTATTGTGTGCCAAGAGAAGAGGTACCCTAAAGATAGTAGACAGGGCAAAGAGTGTCCTCCGGTTACTTTGTGCACTAAAATTTGGAGCATCCCTAAGCTTACCCTACACTCCAAGTTCAACGAGCATTACATACACTCCTTGCCTGGTCACTGAGTTGTGAGCCTGGCCGAGTTGTAGTGTGCCTTACTGCTTGTACACCCATTTGGGAAGAGAACCTAGAGTAAACCAGTGGGGCCCATGAGGGGTCTGCACTACACCTATATAACTGATCTAAATAATAAATGTAAATCAGTAGACTAAAAATATGCCACACTCATTTTTTTGTAATAGACAACAACAAATCACATTTGATGTGAAAATCTACAGATGATTAGTATATTTTAAAACATGAGTGCAAGGAAAACCTGTCATAAGAGATATCTAAAGACTGATGTGGCTGATTTCATTCTGAAATTGCAAATTGCCTACACTTTTCTAGTGTGATTATGCTTTAAATTACTCACTCTGAACAAGGGAAGTCAGATTGATGCTAAAACTCCTGATATGTGTACTTGATTTAGGACCCCATAGGGTCAGCTTAAGAGGCAATCAGCTAGAATTTTTCTAAGATCAGCAGCCCTCTGTATTTCTCTATGGTGGCTTTCTGAAAAAAATACAGGAAATTTCACCCCTAATAAGAAACACACACACACGCCAATTCATGCTAAAAAAATACCTATTTTTAAATAATTTTCTCCATATTCTTCCTTAATACTGGCAGGAAGTTTCTCCCAGATCTGTGTACGTTGTTTTAAAACTGTGTTTGGATCAGACAAAGGTGTTTTAAATAGACCAGGTTCAATGCAGGAGACTTTTACTCCATGTGCCTTCATGTCCCGCCTGTATAGAGAAAAAAAAGTTGATATAACCTATGGATTTTTGGATCAAGTTTAGTTGAAATGCATATTTTATTTTATATGATTATAAACCAAGTCAAGGGAAGCAACTAATCACCAAGGGGGTTATTTACTAAATCTGGAGAGTGCAAAATCTGGTGCAGCTTTGTATAGAAACCAATCAGCTTCCAGTTTTTTTGTCAAAGCTTAATTGAACAAGATGAAGTTAGAAGCTGATTGGCTACCATGCACATCTGCACCAGATTCTGAGTGCTCCAGTTTTAGTAAATCGACCCCTAAACGCCTGAATATACAACCCTTTAAGATATATATCACGACCAAGGCTTTTTTCAGTGGGGTAAAGCAGTTCCATCACCTCCAGCACAGGATGTATATAATGACAAGGGGTGCTGGGGTGTGCTGGAGAGTATATTGATGCTGGTTGCTAGAGGATCTATCATTGCTGCAGGGGATCTATTTTTGAGTGGGGGATCTTGTTCTGTATTCTCTAAAAGGAGCAGTACTGGGAGGCGAGTAGGAGCTGGAACCAAGAGACAATGCCCGGAGGTGGGTAGGGGGCGGAGACAAGGGTGACTCAGAAGAGGGGCATTCCTGCACCTATTCTCCGAGAAAAAAAGCCCTAATCAGGACAACATAGAAAATAACACATACACATATCCTCATATCTACCCTTTTAACCTCCTCCCGCCATCCATATAAGGAAATGACAGGCGAGTGGCGGTTCTCTCGTTCTGGGAGGATGTCACATGATGTCCTCCCACTCAAACTGAGAATGTGCTACCCTGGGGGCATGCAGAATGGTGATTGGTGGTGCCCTGTGTCCCTGGGACACAGAGGACCACCGATCAGAGTAAAGAGCCGATGACATGTCATGTGATCAGTTGTGTCCAATCACAGCTGATCACATGTAAATAGGAAATGTCGGTTCTTGGCAGTCCACTCCTCACGCTGACAGTGCATGAAGAGAGGGGAGCCGGTAATCGGCAGTCCTCAGAGGGGACATCTACAATGATCATCAGGGCACTGATGATCAGTGCCCTGATGATCAGTGTAGCCCCATCGGTGCCACCTGTCAGTGTCTATCAATGCCACCTGTAATTGCCCATCAATGCCACATACCAGTGCCTACCAGTGCACATCAATGCCACAAATCAGGGCCTACCAGTGCACATCAATGCCACATATCAGTGCCCATCAGAGCTGCCTTGCAGTGCCAACTATCAGTACTGTAAAATGAAATAAAAAACAAGAAGCGCACCAGCCTTGCGCATTACCTCAGCGACCAAAATTTATTACTTGTAAAAAACATACTCACAAACAGCGAATAAAATCAGGCATGTAAGTCCTCTCAGGGACTTGAAGATAACATGTGTCCCATCAGGGGAATAGGTGTTCAGTACAGCTGACGCGTTTCGAAGGGAGTCCCTTCTTCCTCAGCTCTGAGGAAGAAGGGACTCCCTTCGAAACGCGTCAGCTGTACTGAACACCTATTCCCCTGATGGGACTCATGTTATCTTCAAGTCCCTGAGAGGACTTACATGCCTGATTTTATTCGCTGTTTGTGAGTATGTTTTTTTACAAGTAATAAATTTTGGTCGCTGAGGTAATGCGCAAGGCTGGTGCGCTTCTTGTTTTTTATTTCATTTTACAGTGCTGATTGGGCTTCCCCAGCCTTGGTTTGGAGCTGCACAGCCCTTTATGCAGTGGTGTTCGTTCTCCCCAGGCCTGTTCCATCTTGTGCCACCTGTCTGAGTCTTGGAGCGCAGGAGAATTCTTTTTTCGTTTTTCCAACTATCAGTGCCAGTCAGTGTTGCCTATCAGTGCCACCAATTAGTGCCACCTATCAGCGCCAGTCAGTGCCGCCAATCAGTGCCCATCAGTGCCGCCTATTAGTGCCCGTCAGTGCCACTTAAAGGTTCCAATCAGTGCCGCCTAACAGTTCCAATCAGTGCCACCTATCAGTGCCAGTCGGTGTTGCCGAACAGTGCCCAACAGTGCCACCTATCAGTGCAATATATGAGTGCTGCCTTTCAGTGCCTATCAGTCATGCCTGTCAATGCCCATCAGTGCCACCTATCAGTGCCTCCTCATCAGTGCCGCCTATCAGTGCCCATCAGTGCAACCTATCTGTGCCCATCACTGCATCCTCATTAGTGCACATCAGTCAAGGAGAAAAAAAAATACTTATTTACAAAATTTTTTATAACAGAAACTAACAAAAAACTTTTTTTTTTAATTTTCAGTCTTTTTTAGTTTGTTTAGCGAAAAATAAAAATCCCAGTGGTGATTAAATACTACCAAAAGAAAGCTCTATCTGTCTCAAAAAAATGATAAAAATTTTGTTTGGGTACAGTGTGGCATGACTGCACAATTGTCATTCAAAGAACGAGGGCACTGAAAGCTTAAAATTGGCCTGGGCAGGAAGGGGGTAAAAGTGCCTGGTAGGCAAGTGGTTAAAGTCTCTACAAGTACAGAATAAAATCTGCTGATCAGCCAGAAATGCACTCACCTTCAAAGTCGTATTTTGGACCAGAAACACACAGCATTTTTTTGGACAGAGTGATGTCAGGTCAGGTTTTTTTTGCTAAACTACTCAATCTCCAATCTTCCATCTCCGCAACATAAACACATAAGGGTCTATTTATTTAAAAAATGCTATGCTATTGTCACAGCATTTCCACAGTCATTGCAAATATACCCCATAATGTGAACAATATGTTTATTTAGTGAACTCCAGCTAATGGCCATAATTCAGTATTTTCCTGATTGAAGATTTTCAGGAAAATATTGCACTATGGTTACCTTTTAAAAAAGCTTCTAAACACAAACGAGCATTAAAGCGGCTAGACATACATAAATGCGGTAGGTAAATGCGGCTAAACTGACGTTTTTTTATCTTAAGTTTTCTATCAGTTTCCAGTGTTCAGAAAAGTTTTTCAAAAGCCCTGAGCACATGAGCCCTAAAAAAAGTTATAATCCTATACCAGTGGTGGGCAACCTTTTTTTTCAACTGAGCCAAATCTCGCAAAACCACGATTGAAATTTATTTTGAGAGCCACATTTTTAAAACTGAAAATACATCCCCCATATAGTAATTCGTCCCCCATATAGTAATTCATCCCCCCTATAGTAATTCATTCCCCATATTGTGTCAATTCACTTACCTTTGCTCCGCGCTTTCCTCTCGCCGTGTTTCCCACGCCGTTCCGGTCTTCAGGGCGGACTGTGAGAGGAGAGGAGTTAGTCACGCTGCCCCGCCTACATCCTGACAGCCAATGTTTGCCAGCGGGCGCCCGGCACACAGAAGAGCTGCATGTGTAAAGAGCCGCAGCTTGCCGACCACTGAGCTACGGCAACCCTATTGCCTGTCACCTGGTGGGCAGTGTGCTCCGGAGCCGCAGCAAAGGTGAAAAAGAGCCGCATGCGGCTCTGGAGCCGCGGGTTGCCGACACCCGTCCTATACCCACAGTTGATCCAGAGGAAGGCAAAAAAAAAGAACAGCAAAGCATGATCCAATTTGCTCCTGCAAGGGATAAAATTCCTTCCTGATCCCCCGAAAGGCAATCAGATATTCCCTGGATCAACTTTACCTATAAATGTTCCTCAGAAAGAATCTGAAAAGACTGTTCACAAATAAATGACAATTTTCTTTTTTAGCTATTCTGACAAATGATCGATTTTTTGCAAGTCCTTTGTTCATCCTAAACGCGTTAGTAAATTATACAAAATATACAGATATGTTTCCTGTACCCAGTTCACTATTTCAATGTTCCAATTTTGGGGGTTTTATGATCAGTCATCTTAAATTAGGCTAAGCATGGAGTGGATGCTTCTCAAACAGGTAATAAGAGTTGTTTCCCTTGAAAGTGACTCTGTCATGAGAAACGAATGGGGGATGCTATTGCTGGCCTTTTTCTAAAAAACGCCTGCTGCCTGGCTGTATCTGAGTTAAGTAATTTTGATACAAAGACCTGCAACAAGTACGCTGAAAATGACTGTGAAATAACTGCCAGAATTCCTTCTTGCTGGAGTGGGTTCAGTATTTCTAGGCCCATTATTCTTGGTTAACACAAAACTTGATGACCTCTAGGGGATTGTAATGTGTCGACTATGGAAAATAAAGGGTACTGAAGTTCATTGTCATTTTAAGGGCACACGTACATTTTGGTTATCTATTTACTTGGCACAATCTCATTTTTACATTTAGTATATTTTTGTAATTTTCACACTTGTTATACAGAGTGCAACAATTATTGTGTGACATAAAACATTGCAAATACCACAATTGTATTCTACAGGGTGTCTGCTTTCATAAAATATATAATCAAAGAATAAATGGTGAGCACAAAACAAAAAAGGAAACAGTAAAGCAACTAGCACAACGTGGCAAACCCTCTGTCTCCACCAAAACAAAACTATATAATATCAATGTGCAGCGCTAATAAAAATGTGTTATAATCAATGATGACCAGTGTGATAGTAAAAAAGAAAGGAAACATCATAAAAAAGAAATAGGGAATAGTGAATACTCCAATGAAGAAACAAAGTGGACGGTATAACAATTAACAAATGAAAATATATAAGTCTTCTAAATATCATAATAGTACCAAAAATAGTGATGTGATCAAATCAACAAAATATAGTGACTTCTGTGACTTATGTAGCTTCCGCACTGTACCTCCACCATAATGCACTCACCAGAAGTAAGTAGCGAGCAAGCCTGGAATGACAGTAAGGGGTGTTCCTGCTTGTTCCTTCTGCCGGTGACCCGGTTGAAGGTGGAATCTCTCCAGAAGCCAGTGATACACCAAATGAACAATCAAGAGTAGAGTAGCCAAGTCTCCATCTCTAGCCCACGGTGAACCAAGGAAAGGGGTTCCTCCTAGAGGGCAAGCTCATAGACCGAGCCCAGAGACAGTATTATATAGTGTAGTATGTTTTAATAAAAAGATAGCAGCCACATGGAGCATACAATCATCAATGGATAAAAGGCACTTACAAAGATGGCTGCCGGACCATCATGTGAATGCAGCGGCGTGACGTCAGCACGTAGGCTCCTCCCCTGATGCTTTTTGTGCGCCCTCACGTTCTCAAAGGGATTCACCTAGTGCCTTATATAATGCCAAATATATAATGTTTGGGGGTTTTAACAAATTGTCAGGTCTAAACTTATTTTTTGAACGTGTGCAAAAACTACAAAAATGACTCTGACAGCGAAAGGGTAAAATGGTATATTTAACAGAGCTAATGTGAGCAAACAAGTTCATTGTTAGGGTTTACATACACTTTAGGCTAAAAGGACAACTTACCGTAAACTGTCAGTAAATCCTTCAACTCCATATTTAGAGCTAAAGTATCCACCACCACTAGCAGCTACTCTGCCGCCAACACTGGATACGTTCACAATCCGACCCTTTGCTTTCTTGAGCATGGGAAGCATGACCAAAGTCACATGGATTAAACCAATGAAATTGACTTCAATAGGCTCTCGAACGTCATCAATAGAGAGCCAGTCCATGGGAGCCAGAGTACCCATAATTCCGGCATTGTTCACCAAAACAAGACCTAAAAGGAGAACAAAACAAAAATAATACATGTACAGTATACAAATGACTTAATATGACTGGCAGAATCCACAAATCCAAAATGCTGGAGGAATTGTTATCTAACAGGAGAAATCATGTAAAATTATTCATGGGAGACTAATATTATAAACCAAGGTGTGAAAAAATAAACTTTTGAGAATGATGTGAAGCCACATTTTAAAGTTCTAAGAAAATGCAGGCATAAGATAATTTGAAGCTATTTTGATATTTGCAATGAAGGGTAGCTAAATGCTTTTTTTTGATTATTATCATAATGGTCCACATGACCGTTTACTTTACACATCCATTTTTATTAGGCCAGTGCAGTGTGTGGTGAGAACCCAAAGTTACATGTCCCTTCCTTTGATGGCGTTACCTTGGATTGGACTTCAACTGCCAACCACTACCCTTCTCTGTTGTAGGTGGATACGTTTCCTAAGTAGGATGAGATGCAAACAGGGGCACACAGACGGCTCCTATTGCCACAGCTGCAATGTAAGCCAGTAGGCAAGCATTGTCACCTTGGAACAGATTATAAAAACCAAAAAGCTGATAGCTTGTTCACCAAAGTGAAAGGGTGCATAAGCTGCAAAACATTAATTGCCATTTTTAGGGTTTGCATACCCCTTAAAGAATTGTTGGATTGCTTAAAGTTGACTTCAATTGGCGAAAAACATTTAGCTTTGCATCAGGTCCCACATCCTACTGTGAAAGTTACTGTTCTTTTTGCCTAGGGGGATGATGAATAAGGTGATATACCTACCTTATTCTTCCTTTCTCTGGCTGCTGGCCTTTTACTTCACTGTCTGACATCCAGTGGAGTATTTAGGTTTTGTGCTGCCCTAGGCAACACCCCCCCCCCCCCCGCAGAGAGAGCCTGACACCAACCAACACCCCCACCCTTCTCCACCCACCCAAGGGAGCCTTCATCTACCAGCACCCTCCATACACCAGCCATACCACCCCATACCCAACGAGAGAGAGTAAGATACTCACCTTCACAGCTCCAGACATCTCCTGGAATGAAAGTCAGACTCTGCATACACCATAGAGCAGCCTCTCTCAGATCCCACCAGGTCCCCATGCTGCGTGTGTCCCTTCTTCCATCTCTTCTTCCAGGGGGCGGTACTGCCCCCTTGAAAAATGCCACCCTAGGCAAATGCCTTGTTTGCCTTGTGGTAAATACACCCCTGCTGACACCCAGGAATGTTGATGGGCCCTCTGTGTCATCCTGTGCAATGCAAGACTGCTAGTTCTGCATTGTTGGGGATGATGTCAGAGAGATGATGAGCAGGGCACTGAAGGATAGAGGCTTCAGAGGACTGGTTACCTGAAAAGAAGGAAACCTGCAGGAGAAGTATGTATACCACCTTGTTCATCATCCCCTGGCAAAGCAAGCAGTTAATCCTTGCAAGGGTTAATGTTTTTAATCTACAACTTGTAGTTTGGAGTTACAAAAGGACCTTTCAGAGAATGAAAGCAGTGGAAGAGAAGTCCTGGATGTAGGAATTATAGGTGCTGTCTACAGAGAAGAAAAATAATTTTGAGTCATACACTCTTTTGGGCAACTTACCTTGACTCCCAACTTCCTCCTTCACCCATTCACCAACCCTCCGTACATTCTCAGCATCAGTCACATCCAGTAACACTGTTTTAAGCCGCTCTGATGTCTCCTGCTTCAGACCTCGAGCTCCACTTTCCGTCAGGCAGGTTGCTAGGACTAGGAATCCTTGTTTATCGAAGGTACGTGCAGCATAATTTCCAATCCCGGTGTCACATCCAGTAATTAAAACATATTTGTTTGTAATTGCAGCAATTCTGGAACTATCTCTTATCCACCACCAGATATAGAGAACAACTGCACAAATTAGCACGTATACAAACATTGTCACAATTTTCTTGGTTAGCACTTCCTATTAAAAAAAAGTTAAAAGTCAAATGAATTAAAAAAGCCTCAGCAGTGTTATACAATTAAAAAATGGTTAATGATACAATTAGCAACATTATTAGTAAAAGATCCGATTGGTTGGAGCGCGTGTTAACAGTGATACACTTACTTCATCATTTCAGAAAACCAGACGAAAGAAAATGCACCAAGAAATGCTGTATTTTTGCATTTAGGTTACAGGAAGGTCATTTATTTCTGCACATAAAATATGATTATTTTCTTCTAGTTCTCATCAGTAATTCACACACCCATAATTATAGGAAAAATTGCAGTCATGAAGAAAATCATCAGATTAAAGTGCACAGTGGTTTGAGGGATCTGAGTTTAAATTACACAATAAATGCTACTTAAAGTGTTACAAAACCCACAAAAGTAAAATCAGTTTGTATTTGCAGGAAAGCATGCTTGTTATACTCACTGTGGAACCTAAGGGATTAATCCGCTGCATTGTGTAAAAATGCTGTTTGATCCTGACTTCTCTGATCCCCCCCTTCTTCAAGTGTCCCCCTCTTATCTCATGATAAGACATACATATCGTGTGGAGTCACTCTGCGCATGCACAGTTTGGTGTGTATTGCTAGAGAGGTTTTTTTTCCTTGGGAGAGTGCATGTGATCAGCACAGGGCCAATCAGCACTGTCCAGACAAAGGTCAGGGGTTCTGCATCCCCCTAGAGCAGAATGAAAATTCCTCCTACAAGCTTTAACATGCGCTCTTCTGGACATTGATAGAGGTCACAAGACTGCTCTAACTGCTGATGAGAAAAGATATTTGGCAGTTTATATTTAGTAAAATAATTGCACTTCCATGTTATGTGTACTGTGGGAAACCAGATATAGTGAATGCATGGTTTTGGGTTTAGTAACACTTTATATACAGTTTTACATAGAGTGCTTGCACCATTTTAGGCAATGCATCACATTGCAATATTGGTGCGTTGCCATGTGCTGCACTGCACTACAATGTCAGTCCATTGGAAGGCGCTTTGGGGTGACATTCAGAATGAACTTAGCATGCACTGCCATGCATTGAAGTGACCGGTCTGGTAACAAAAATGCTACCGCAAAGACACAGTGTGAACTGGCCCTTAATGTTTTCTTTGTGTTTGTCATTGGCTTCCCTTACACAATCCAAAAACAGATTCACCCAAGTTGAGCGTGGTGGGGACATACTGTAAGCCCATTCAGGGTAACAGAGGTGATGTGCCTTTTCTCTATGTATGTATACAGTACTGTATATTAACTGCAATTACAAACATGGTAGACATATAATGGTGGGCTTTAGCATTCATCATGCTACTGTGATCTGACTTCCTGTTAGAGGGTGGCTACATTCATTCTCCATGGTCCCATTGTATGTAAGAACATAGATATCTTCTTTTGCTCGTGCCCGAGATTAGCTATTGACTATGAGACCTGCAGTGTGCACAGAGCAGTACACATGACCACAACTAATGTGCTTACTTACTCCAAACAAACATATGTACGGGGTAAAAGGAGAGGTCTGGGAGCTCACAGACGGCATTACAAGGTGACAGAAAAACACAATAAGAAACAATTTAATGAATCAAAGATTACATGGCCATTACATAGTGATAGTGTAGTGGTTTATGTTTTGAAAATAAAGATTAGTGTCACTTTAAAGCTAAACTCCAGTAAGATAAGTAGGCCTTTTTTTGTGCTGGTATACAATGCTACTGCATACTGAAACCTCCCAGCACTGATCCTGTACGTTATCAGTCCTGTGTATCTCCCTGTCTGAGATCTCTTCAGCCATGTGAAGTCTTGGATGGTTCCCACAGAGGTAACAAGTTTGGATGAACCATATGAGGGGTTCAAGGGTGCTACTAATCTCTCCAAACCTAAGCAGTGGTAGGAATTGACTGAGTTTAGAGGAGTTGCGGGTGCAGTTTTATGCTTGCTGTACTTTTAAGCACGAGCAGAGGGAACTGAGGTGACTGAGAAGGATAGGCAGCAGGTCTAGCAAAAAAAGGAGAAGAATCTAGTAAAGTGACATTATATCCCAGCTCATGGTGACCGTTTCCTAGAAGTTACCACTCCCAGCCCAGCTTTGGTGGTGCTGGATCTGTCTGTATGAGAAGGCAGGAGGTCCAAAGGCTTGCTGACCTGCGGTTGTCTGTGTTCAGTAGGTTCCTGTCCTCCACCAGATGTTCTTCTGTCCGATTATGACCTATTCAGGGACTGTGAGAGCAAGAGCCAAGGTAATGAGGACCTGGAGCACAGTAAAGACAGAACCTGATGAGTATAACTCTATGGGGTGTGTGACACCCAAGCTGGACAAATTCTCATGGAAACACTAACTTTATCAGAGAAAGCATGTAGCTGTACAGTAAATGTAGCATTGAATGTCAGTATTGTGGGGCACTGCCAGGGATGTTAATGATATTGTGCTCCTTGGGCTGGCTGCTGTCAGATATCCAGGATTCCTCCAACAACAGAAATTTTGGTTGTACAAAAAGCTGTGCAATATGCACTCCTGAGCCCTCTACCCTTTGCAATATGCACACTTGAGCCCTCTGCCCTGTTCGACATGCACTCCTGAGCCCCCTGCCCTGTGTAATAAGCACTCCTGAGCCCTCTGCCCTGTGTAATAAGCACTCCTGAGCCCTCTGCCCTGTGTAATAAGCACTCCTGAGCCCTCTTCTCTGTGCGATAAGCACTCCTGAGCCCTCTGCCCTTTGCAGTATGCACACTTGAGCCCTCTGCCCTGTGCGATATGCACTCCTGATATCTGCACTGTTTGATAAGCACTCCTGAGCCCTCTGCCCTGTTCGATATGCACTTCTGAACCCTGCGTTTTGTGTAGTATGCATTCCTCAGCCATGTTGGTTACGTACTCCTGAACCCTGCGATTTGTGCATTAAACCCGATTTCCAGGTTTCACTTAGCTTTGAACTCTTCTCCTCCATCTTTGTATAGAATTTACTGTATGTATTTATATACACAGTCATTTTTGGGACAGAGCATTTGGCTATCTTGACTTACAATTGTAATAAGCTTTTAGAGGACTGGGTAATTGTTTTGGTTACATCTATATTAATGAATCAGAATCTTTTCCCCTCCTCTTTTATTGTGTTTTATGTACAACCTTTTTTATTGTGTAAAAATAAAATTATATATGTTTATATGTGGTTGTCAGTATTTGATACCTGGTGCCTTAAAAGCCCATTTAGCTTTAAATAGTTCATTTGGACCAAGCTGGTCCAAAAAAAAACATTTACTTCTGTAATGCCCTCCAGATTAGCTAGAGTTTATTTTGTTTTTTTTAGATAGAGGCTGAGTAGCAGCCTGTGATGATTCAGCCTAAGAGTGAGGCAGGATTTCACCTCAGGACAGGCTTGAAGGTTCTACAGGTCAGGGCTTCTGGAGCTCTCCCACCTTTTCAGAAACTTGAGAACTTTCTGGAACAGGGGAGGAGGAGGGGAGGAAGCCCAGATCTATATGTTTGAGGGACTCTGGCCAATCGCCTGGCAGGAGGCTGGGCATGGTGACCAGGACAACCCTCAAATATTACAGAGCCTGGGGAGAGAGGGGAGTCGGATGAAAGATGGATTGAGAGAAGGCTGGAGTATGGAGCCTGGGTGGAGGCCCCAAGGAGGGGGGTCTACCTACAGGCAGGATGTTGGACGGGAGGAACTCTACTGCCTCACCGTCTCTTTGGTAGGACTACCTGTTAGCAGGGAAGGAGCCAGTCCAACGGACGGCCTGAAAGCAGATACCAACCAAGCATGCTGACAGAACAGGACAGTGTGAGTACTCCTACACCCCTGGGCTGGATAATGGGAGAGGGCAGTCAGGTGCAATACCCAACTGGTCTTCACCTGGAACAGCTTAACTACAAGCTCTTGGGACTCCCCTTTCTCAGGGATTCCCTCAGCACAGCTGGTTGAAGAGGAGGATTCATCCAGGATCTGAGGAGGTACACAGAAAAAAAGGGACAGTGCTTTATTTTTCCCAGTTGACCCATTTTGAAGATAGTTACAAGAAGTTTGTCCTCGGGTTCTACAGTTCCTTGGGTATCCTATATACCCCTAGACCCTACAAGTTGTTAACCCCTCAAAAAAAAAACCAACTAAAAACCAGCTCAAGGACTGTTTTACTGATTCTGAGAGCTCAAGTGTGGAAAATGCATGTTGCCTAGCCGTGTAAAGCTAAGGGGGACCCAATCAAATCCCGCAGCCCTTAGGAGGGTAGTGCTGTACTTCACTAACAGTTGCAGTGGCTATGTTCACTGTATAAACTGTATGGAACCTCAGCTACATCCAGCATACAATGCTGTGTTCTGACAGCAGGATGAGACCTTCCCGTCCTGCTCTCGGAAAAAAAGAAAGTTGGGCTGAGTGCTGCTCAACCATTCAGAAGAAGCTTTGTATTCTATGAATGAATACAAGGCTTTACTTTTTACTCTATGCATGTTATACACTTTGTTGTACATTTCATACTCCTGATCATTGCACTATTTGTGTTATATTTTACATTACATTCTTTTGACCAAAATGCTTATTGTCTCAATAGTTGCTGGTTGCTAAGTAGTCACAGATTATTTTAGGAAAACTCTTCTTTGAAGTAGGCTGAAAAGTATTGTACATATCTGTTAGACTCTTGCTTGTGTCAAAGTAATTAAAGTGTAGCCACCCTGTATTTTAGTGGGGTGTGTCTAAATGTACTTCTCCTAGGTCAGTGGTGGGCAACCTTTTTTTTCAACTGAGCCAAATCTCGCCAAAACCACGATTGAAATTTATTTTGAGAGCCACATTTTTAAAACTGAAAATACATCCCCCATATACTAATTCATCCCCCATAGTAATTCATCCCCCATATAGTAATTCATCCCCCATAGTAATTCATCCCCCCTATAGTAATTCATCCCCCATATAGTAATTCATCCCCCATAGTAATTCATCCCCCATATAGTAATT